TATTAATTATTATATTATATTTCCTTTTTAAGTTTGGGTATTTATTTAATTTCCTTTTGAGCTTAGGGTACAGGGAAATCGCAGGTAACTCTGTATAAATATTCCAGAATCACTACAAACAAAAATTTTTAGTTTGTTCTATTTTTATTATTCATGCGACGCCTTTGGCGCTTGCTGGGCGTGGCATTTGGATTGGCCTCTGCAGTTGGCTGCTTTTTGGCTGGTGCTTACTTTCAGCACACCCATGCAACACGGCAGCTGCAACAGCTCGTGCAACAGGATGTCTACGCCTACTATATCAGTCCGAAGATCTTCGCCGCGGTATGCTAGTCAAATTGAGTGGTCAATGTTAATCATAGTATGCAAGAACTGATCCGCAGTTCGGTTTCTTCAACGTCCCGAATGGAGCGCCGAATCATGTGCAGCGTATTATGAAGTATGGATTTCCGGGCCTGGATGATGTGAGGCTCTACAGTGACTTCGTTCTGTCCTACGATCGTCGCAATCGCGTGGCGCATTGGGTCTGCGAGCACTTGCAATTGGCCAATTTGCAGGGTGCACGGGGCGTTGGCCGCGCCAGCGCCACCTATCGTGCAGATCTGAGTGTGCCTTCAAACTTTCGTTCAACGCTCGCCGACTATAAGCACTCGGGCTTCGATCGTGGTCATCTGGCGGCCGCTGGTAATCATCGAGGCACACAAGTGCACTGCAATGAAACCTTCTTGCTGACCAACATAGCGCCACAAATAGGGCAGGGCTTCAATAGCGGCGCTTGGAACAAGTTGGAGATCTACGTTAGGGAGCTAACACAGAGTTTCGGTTCGGTATATGTGTGCACCGGTCCGTTGTTTAAGCCTCGGGCACAGAGCAATCGTAAATGGAGCGTGGAGTACCAAATGATTGGCGAAAATATGGTGGCAGTGCCCACGCACTTCTTCAAGGTGATCATGGTGGAGTCGAGGTTGCCCTTGGGTAAGCCCTATATGGAGGCATATGTGCTGCCCAATGCGCCCATACCGGATCAGTCGACCCTACGCGATTTTCTCTGTGATATACGGGAGATTGAACACTTTGCAGGCCTTCATTTCTTTCAGGGCATACGCCGAAGTGCAATTTTTGGCAGCAACTATCCAAGTGAATCGAAAGTTTTTCGAGATTTTGCTTAAATTTCATGTGGAACTAAAATGAATTTAAAAAGTAAAGTTTATTTCTTGGTTTAAGACAGACCCAACTATTTTGGTTTTCATAATTGGGAATACAAATTGGTAGAATCAGAACCAAACCTAATAAATAGGAGTTAGTATTTTAGCTGTACTTGGTAATTACATTGCACTAACTGTGGGCAATATCGGTCAAAGCTAAGAATATATTTTAACTCGATTAATGCAGGCTAAAACAAATAAATTTAAAAAAGTTTATCTTAATTATAATATGAAACATACTCTCTATATATCATATATATGTAATATTTCCTTCAGAAATTAGTAGGCTATGATATCATTAACGTTTGTCACTTGTTTATTGAGATCTGTAAAATCCCACACAAAATTAATAGTAAATAGGTGGCACTAAAAGACATAGTTACCTAAATAGATTAGTTGCATTTCATTATGTCACACATTGTAGATCCCGGGGCCCAGAGCTGTGCGTTCTATGCGCTGGCGGGCTTAACGGGATTCGTTTTCGGTGCCTATTTCCAGCAGGAGAGTGCGATTCGCCAATTGTTCTGGATGATCAAAACTGATCCATACGTGTTTCATCATCGACGAAAACTATATCCACTCGTAGGTACATTTTTTTATATTTTGATATAGCTCAGCATGAATAATAGATCAATGTCTTTTCCCTGTTTAGGTGTCCACATTTCGAACAGATCACGAAGCAAGATTGTGGAACCGTTCCAAATGTCTGACAAGCAGAATACGCGATCGTCTGATATATGCGCTATTTGATATGGTTAACAGTATCTTTTTCGATAAGAGGCCGGAGTCGATATCGCCCGATTTGCTGGATCTAATCAAATATGGCCTGCCCAGCATGGAGAACTTGTATGTGCATAAGGACTATGTGGTGTCGCAAGACCTAAGTACCAATGCTCCCAAATGGATGTGTGAGCATTTGAAGGGCAACTATAGGAAACTAACAACCGAGGGAGACGGCGATGCCCTGCATCTCCGCTACAATGATGTCTATGTGCTGAGCTGCGGAGCCACACGCGTTTGCAAAGCATTTAAGCGGGAAATTTGGCGGAAGCTGGAAGAACATGTTTCCCAAATGACTGAGAAATACGACTCAGTGTATGTTTATACGGGTCCTATGTATTTGCCGTGTTGTCGGCCTGGTGAGGATTGGAGTTTGGAATATCAAATTGTCGATTGGATTCCGTTGCCAATGCCTTCGCACTATTTTAAGGTGCTTATTATTGATCCCCAGCTGCCGGAGTGTAGTCCCTATATGGAAGGATACATAATAGATAATAAACTTAGTTCAACATGCCATAGCACCGTATTGACAGATTATCTCTGTGATATTGCCGAGATTGAGCGACATACTGGTCTTCGGTTTTTCGAAGGTATTCAGTCAACTGTGCGGTTCGAGAAAAAACAATATAAAACTAACAATCAACCGATCAATCGTCCATATTTTAGTGAGTCAATTCACTCAATGCATGTAAATACTCTGCGAAATTAATTGTCATAAATAATATTCGATTTTACATTTCTGCTGACATTTCAAATATAACTGCAAGCTAAATAACAGAGTGGCAATGACTATTTGGGCAGCGGTATTTTTAGTAGTTAGGTATCGATATATCAATACACAACTATTTTTATTTCATGGCGGCAACTGCAATGGTTTAAATTATAATTCGCAGTTTAATATTCCTGAGCACAGATTCACAAGGCATAATAAATAATAGTTTAATTAATTTGAATTAAAAATAACTTTTAATTAAAAATTCTGCGATTTATCTATTACATTTACAATATGTTTTTTAAAAAATATCGCGCAACATATCGAAAGCATCGTTGGCAGTGCACATCAGTGAAAAATATCGATACATGTCGCACAGGCGACAACTTTACGTGGCAAACTGTCAAATGTAACTAATAAGTGGCAGAAAAAAAATCGAATTAGCGAACTGACGTGGAAGTTCGTTTTTGCTTGGAAGTTTTGTTAAAAACTACGTTACCTGTGCGCTCATACCCAGCGAAAGCTGCAAAAAATTGCACAACAAACGCAAGACAACGCATCTAGGCCCAAATTTCAGCGAAACAACGTTTGAAATCGTTCGAATTCGTGAAAACGAGAACGCGAACTTTGAGCTGCAATTAGAGTGTGTTGTGTGTGTGTGAAAGTTGTTGCTACGKTTTTATGTGCTCATATTGAGTCGCTGCTCGCAGGCCAATATATAAAGAAATGAATCCAAACATGTATGGTCCACCGCCGACACAATTTCAACCACAATATCCAGCGGGGCCGCCACGGGGACCGACGGGTTGGCCATCACAACAACAACAACAACAACAGCAACCGTTGCAATCGCAGCCACCGCCACAACAACAGCAGCCACATCAACAGCCACAACAGCAGCCACCAACCCAACAACAACAACAATATGGTGCTCCAGTGACATCTGCTCAACAACCCTATGTAAACGGCAACTATCAGCAGCAGGTGAGCTTAAGCTTCTATTTCCAAGTTGCCTAATCGCCACTGCCACAAATAATAAGTTCAATTTATGTGCCCTGACGATAATGTTTCCTTTACTTACTCATGTCACAGCCAGTGTAAAGAGGTCAAGTAGTATTTCATATGGGAAGCTGTCTGATAAGAGCGCTCACATAATTGAATTGCTTTAGCATGTAGTTAATTTAGTACTCTTTATCTCTATCTATATCTCCCCGTCTCTGTCGTTCTCTTTCATTGGCTGCCTTTTGAAAGTTGACCACGTCGATGAGTGGCCTGAGTGTGAGTGGTAATCCTTTAAAGCCCTCGCAGCCACCGATTGGCATGCCTACTGCTGGAGTTGGAGCTCCTGTCGCTGCACCATCGGGCCCGTTTAATCAATTCAACTCGAACGCACCGCCAACGTCGCAGCCCATGCCACCGGCTAGTTCAGGCATGAATTTTAACAACAAYAACAATGCCTACGCTGCAGCCTATGCAAACGGCTCGGCAGGTCCGTCTCCGTCTCCGGCTCCGCCAGTTTCTGCGGCTGCAGCAGGTCCCTCACCGTCGCCAGCGCCGTCGATGTTTCCGCCCACATCATCGGCATCCAACATGGCTCAGCCAACATCGGCAGCTGCAACCATGCCGCAAAACGTACCCGGTGGCATTAACCAGATGACACTCAATAGCGCCAGCTTGGCTGGCTTGCCGCATATGCCACCAAAATCATCTGCTCAGCAGTTGCCGCCAACATCCACAGCTCCTGGACAGGCACTGCCACCTGTAACGCAGGCGGGAGGCTATGGGCGACCTGGTCAACCGCAGATGCCGCCTGGTGCAGCTGCTCCAGCCGCGTTTGCACAGCCTGGTATGCCTCCCCAGCGTCCAGCTGCTGGCGGTGCTCCAGCAGCTGCATTCGCGCAGCCTGGCATGGTGACTCAGCCTCCTTCCGTTGGTGGTCCAAGTAGTAATCCTTATGGAGTGCCACCACCTGGCAACTTTCCTGGCTCATATGCTGGTCAACCAGCTTCGGGTCCCGGTCCGGCTTCGGCTCCGACTTCGGCTCCGGGTGCATATCCAGGTGCACCTCCATTACCAGGACAGCAGGCAGGGCCACAACAATATGGCGCAGCTCCACCTCCAGCTGTCGGCTATCCACCACAGCCCGGGCAACAGTTGCAGCAGCCATCCATGCCTGGTTATCCGCCTCAGCCAATGCCCGGCTATCCGCCCCAGGCTGGTCAGCAACCGCAACAGCCCATGCCTGGCTATCCTCCCCAGCCTGGCAGCTATCCTGGACAACCAGGACCCGGCCGTCCTGGCTATAACGTAAGTATCTGCTGCAATTCATCTTATTGCTAAGATATTAATATATTATCAACTTATTGTTACAGCAACCGCCCATGCCAGGAGCTGGAAGTATGTATCAACAGGCGCCGCCGCGTCGCCTAGATCCCGATCAAATGCCCAATCCCATACAGGTGATGATTGAAAATCAGCAAGCAGCCGGTGGAATCTTTGTAACAAACCAGCCGGGCCTATTGCCGCCGCTGGTAACCACGAAGTTTGTGGTGCACGATCAGGGCAACTCCTCACCGCGCTTCATACGCTCCTCCCTATACTGCATACCCAATACGGGTGATTTGTTGAAGACGACGGCACTGCCCCTAACGCTCAACATTTCACCTCTGGCGCGCATTGGCAAAGGCGAAATGGAACCACCAATTGTCAATTTTGGAGACATGGGCCCAATACGTTGCAATCGCTGCAAGGCTTATATGTCGCCCAACATGCAGTTCGTGGACGCTGGCCGCCGTTTCCAGTGCCTTATGTGCAAGGTTACAACAGAAGGTAAGTGTTAAACACACAACTCATTTGCTTGAATTGAAATTTGAAATTACTCTTTATAGTGCATCCCGATTACTATCAGCACTTGGATCACACTGGACAGCGTGTGGACAAGCATGAGCGACCGGAACTGCTCTTGGGCACTTACGAATTCCTCGCCACCAAGGATTACTGTCGTGTAGGTGTCCTTATTTGATTCGTCTCCATTCTTTTGCTGAATTGGTTTATTTTTAGAACAATACGGCGCCAGAGGTGCCCGCGTTTATATTCGTCATAGATGTATCGTACAATACGATCAAGTCCGGATTGGTGCATCTGCTTTGCTCGCAAATCAAGAACATACTCAAACATTTGCCGGTTGACCAGGGCCAGGATAAGTCAAAGGTGCGCGTCGGCTTCATAACTTATAACAGCACCGTTCACTTCTACAACATCAAAAGCAGTTTAGCTCAACCACAGATGATGGTTGTGGGCGATGTGCAGGAGATGTTTATGCCGCTGCTTGATGGTTTCCTCTGTCATCCAGAGGAGTCCGCGGCGGTGATCGATGCGTTAATGGAGGAAATACCGCGCATGTTTGTCGACACCAAGGAAACAGAAACTATACTCTATCCAGCCATACAGGCCGGTCTGGAAGCGCTCAAGGCATCGAATGCCTCTGGCAAGCTATTGGTATTCAATTCAACGCTGCCCATCGCGGAGGCACCTGGCAAGCTCAAGAATCGCGATGATCGCAAACTGCTTGGCACAGACAAGGAGAAGACGGTTCTGACGCCCCAAACGACAGTGTACAATCAGCTGGGACAGGAATGCGTACAGCAAGGCTGTTCCGTGGATCTATTTGTGTTCAACAATGCATACATTGACATTGCGACCATTGGACAAGTGTCGCGGCTGACCGGTGGCGAGGTCTACAAGTATACATATTTCCAAGCTGAGCTCGATGGCAAGCGTCTTATTGAAGATATTATTAAGAACGTATCGCGTCCAATCGCATTTGATGCAGTGATGCGTGTTCGCACCTCGGCGGGTATTCGACCTACAGAATTCTTTGGACACTTCTACATGTCAAATACCACTGACGTGGAGCTGGCAAGCATTGGTAAGTCGCGGGCGAGCAAATATACATATCCGATTTGATTAACAAATTACAACAAATTCTGTTTGTTTTACATTTTACAGATGCGACCAAGTCTGTGAGCATTGAGATCAAGCATGATGATAAGTTGGCGCCAGAGGAAAATGTGTACATACAGGTGGCTCTGCTATATACATCGTGCAGTGGGCAGCGACGTTTGCGCATATTGAATTTAGCTCTGCGCGTAACTGTAACTATTGCGGATGTATTCAAGAGCTGTGACCTGGACGCCATGATGCTGTTCTTTGCGAAGCAGGCCTGTTTCAAGCTGATGGAGCACTCGCCCAAACAGGTCAAAGACAATCTCATACAGCGATCCGCACAGATTTTGGCCTGCTATCGCAAGCACTGCACATCGCCAACATCCGCTGGCCAATTGATACTACCCGAGTGCCTGAAGCTATTGCCGCTGTACGCATCCTGTTTGCTGAAGAACGATGCCGTCTCTGGTGGCTCTGATATGACTCTGGATGATCGCTCCTATGTTATACAATTTGTGCTGGCCATGGATCTGAATATGTCGGTCAACTATTTATATCCACGCTTCATTCCCATTCACAACGTGGATATCGATGACACGTCGCTGCCAACGCCGGTGCGCTGCACACATGAGAAGATAACCGAAGACGGCGCATACATACTGGAGAACGGTGTGCATCTGTTTGTTTGGCTGGGCCAGTCCTTGTCGCCCTCGTTTGTGCAATCCGTATTCGGTGTCCAATGCACGCAACAGGTGAATGCCGAGCGATTCGCAATCACCGCAGATACGCCGCTGGCACGTCGCATCACTGGCATCATCGACCAGATTATGGAAGAGCGCACGCGATATATGCGGGTAAGTTGTGCAGAATAACTACCTTTGGAATTTATTGACTCCATTTGGCTGTTTCCAGGTCACCTGTGTGCGGCAGAACGACAAGCTGGAGAGCGTGTTCCGGCATTTCCTTATCGAGGATCGAGGCACAGATGGCTCGGCTAGTTATGTAGATTTCCTGTGCCACATGCATAAGGAGATCAAGGACCTGTTAAGTTAGCACGTAGGCAACTCACATAAATCACCGACTGCCAGCTGCTATTCCACTGAGGAGCGTTGGTCCAGGAGCTACTCACAGAATCGGGCGCGCATGCGTCGTCTCTCGTTCAGCAGTCGTCGATTTAAATGAGCGCGTTTGCATATTTATAGCATATAGAGCAGACATAAATTCAATTATACATACATATTCATATATATACATATAAACATATAGCCGCGACATCATTTCGAGCGTTACAAATCTTCCATTAATTTTTATTAAACTTTACACATTTTGCATGTTCTCTATATTTCTGTTGTCAATCTTAAGTATTCCATATGCTTATCTGTGTGTGCGTGTGTGTTTGTATGTGAATTTCTGCTCTATAAACATTTGTTAAACGAGCAACTTCAATTAGACAAATTAATTTCGTGTTTATTTGTTCTTTCTTCAAATTGGCCGTTCAAATGACGTGGATATTTTTAATGAAATTAAAAATGTCAGCACCACAGTTACACGAGAAATTTCCCTAGTTTAAAACGAAACAGTGAATGAAGCCTGATGCAATAAATATTCTATACACATCAATTTTCGATATATGTATATGCTGAAATGAAATTCTTTCCAGAAATCAGGATAAATTGGAAATAAAAAAATATGTTAGCTACATGCAATATTTCGTTATCCACACGTAATGTACTTGTTGTATCGTAATTCAAATGATTATTAATATCTATAAATACCCATCAAATTTCTTGTGAGAATTATTTTAATATTTAATTGGTATATGAGACCCCCTCTCCCTTACAACCACCAAAATCTTTGTGCAAGAAGATCTATTGAAAAGTAAATAAAAACTTTATTAAAAAAATATAAAAAAAAACTATCGTTTTCATTGAACTTAAAAAGTTTACTTAATTTTAATAAACGTCAGTCAATCAATTTGTTGAGTAAAAAATTTGAAATTTATTTTTCAAATAAAAATATAATAAAATTTCCGATGATATTAAATCAAATATATACGAATAATGCATCACTATTTGTAGAACTGGCAAAAATGGTATGCTTCGTAATTTTATAAACAGAGATTTGAAACAATTATATTTTGACTATCTTCAGTGTGGCTCGAACTTTTTTAATGAAATATTAAAATTCAAATGTAAATAAATTTGGCGTGCTGAAATCAAAAATTTTTCCTAAAAAATTTTAAAGAGAAGTAGTTAAAAGATATTTATATATGTATATATATT